CTATTGTAACAATATATTCTTGAGACTAAGTAAAGTAAAAAGGTCTAATAGCATTTTTTTTCCGACGTTGGCGAGATATCGTAAGTTAAATATTGAAGTAGAAGGTGAAAAAATTTCCAAGTTTCTTTAAACATCTAAAAAAATATTAAACAAATAAAAAAATGTTTCAGACAAAAGTTAAAATTAGTTGGTAGAAAAGGATGATATAATAAAGAATTGGGATTTCTAATAACAAAAAATAAGTTGACCTTGACTTGACCTTGGCAACATCACTCAAGGTCAAACTAATCAAGATCAGTAAATACATCGTTTTGAGCCTTATAACTTTTGTCTGAAACATTTTTCTGTAAAACATATCTTTCGAGATTTTTAAGGGTTTCTATACTTTTTTCCTCATCCTGTGTAATAGTATTACATGCAAATGTATATATTACTGCACAATTATTAAAAAAATAATTATTACATATATGTGTAAAACATTATATACAGGGTGTCCCATTTAACCTGACAAATCGTAATATCTGGAAAACTACATGTCAGATAAAAAAAAGTGGGTAGTGAAATTTGTTCGTCTCGAAGGGGGACATCCAATGATATCAAACTCGACCTCCCACCCCACTCCCGGGGAGTGGGAGTGGGGAGTAATTTTGAAATCTTTAATGGGAACCCCCATTTTTTATAGCAAATTCGGATTTTACGCCACAAAATACGTAAGTTTCGTCCGAAACTTTTTTTTTATTCGTGATAGATGGCGCTGTAACCGCAAAAAATTAGATTTTCAGCAATTCTCCCGAAATGATCATTGGATTGAAAAATAAAAAAATACCTGTTCAATATTTTTAAAAATATTTTTTAAAAACATAATAACAGTTATTCCCCCCATGCCCTCGGGATAGGGTGGGTGGTAACGTTCAAATCTCAAATGAGAACCCACATTTTTCATTGCAGAATTAGATTTTACGTGATCGTACTCTTTCAGGAAAACGCTCAGCATACACATTGACAGCATCGTCAAAATTTCTCCTACATTCGTCATAAATGAAAATCATTTCAATTTTTTCTTGCACAGTTACATAATCCATGATGCAAAATCAGAAGAGAATGATAGTGGCATGGAACACTCTTCAAAAATTGATTAAGCACCTCTCCTGATTAGAAAGGTAAGTGTCTAATAATGATCGTCTCTTAGGTTCTATGGGCGCGGACGATGGAGAGATGCCACTAACAAATTAATTATGCAAAATCATCCCGATGGTGAGAAGCGAGGGGACTCACCTAAAACAAGCACCCCGAAGGGAGCAGAAAGCTACTACGTCCTCGTCGTTGTTCCTGGGTAACGCTAAAAGTAGTTTCTCCGAAAAATTCAACGCTATCTATTACGAATGAAAAAAATTGTTTCCATAAAAACTTCACGTAAAATATAATTCTGCAATGAAAAATGTGGGTTCTCATTTGAGATTTGAACGTTACCCACCCTACCCCGAGGGGATGGGGGGCAATAACTGTTATTATGTTTTTTAAAAATATTTTTAAAAATATTGAACAGGTATTTTTTTATTTTTCAATCCAATGATCATTACTGGAAAATTGCAGAAAATCTAATTTTTTGCGATTACAGCGCCATCTATCACGAATAAAAAAAAAAGTTTCGAATGAAACTTACGTATTTTGTGGCGTAGAATCCGAATCTGCAATAAAAAATCGGGGTTCCCATTTAAGATTTCAAAGTTGCTCCCACTGCCACCCCCCGGGAGTGGGGTGGGAGGTCGAGTTTGATATCATTGGATGTCCCACTTTGAGACGAATAAATTTTATTACCCACTTTTTTTGATCCGACATGTAGTTTATCAGATATTACGATTTGTTAGGTTAAATGGGACACCCTGTATATGTCATATATATGTTTTTGCTTAATAATTCATATTTTGTGTCTCATTTTAACTTTCGCATTAAAAATCTCGAAAACTATGAAAGATATTAAAAAAAGCTAAAACACGTTTTCCATGATTTCGAAGGGGAAAGAGAATGGCGTTATCAGTTTTTTATTTGGAGGGCATTTTCAAGGTCAGTTGAAGGTCAACTTAATTTTTTAAAATAGAAAGCCCAATTTTTTATTATATCTTCTTTTTTTACCAATTAATTTTAACAACTTTTGTCTGAAACATTTTTTATTTGCCTAATATGTTTTGAAATATTTAAAGAAAACTTGGTAACTTTTTCAACATTTAACTTGCGATATCTCGTTAACTATTCGTCGAAAGAAAAAATAATATTAGACTTTTTTACTTTATTTACTATCAAGAATATATTACTATAACAGTGCCTTAACTTTTATTAATTTAATAATTTTGAAATTTTCAAAGGTCGATAAATTAACAAAAGTTAGGGTACTATTATAGTAATATATTCTTGATAGTAAATAAAGTAAAAAAGTCTAATATTATTTTTCTTTCGACAAATAATTAACGAGATATCGTAAGTTAAATATTGAAAAAGTTACCAAGTTTTCCTTAACTGTTTCAAAAAATACTGGGCAAATAAAAAAATGTTTCAGAAAAGTTGTTAAAATTAATTGGGAAAAAAATATGATATATGTAATAAAAAATTGGGATTTCCATTTAAGGAAAGTAATAATCAGTACATATTTTGAAAGTGGAGCCATCTTTAAATAAACTGATAAAGTTCTTTTATGTCTTCCTTTAAACCATACAACTTTTGTCTGAAACATTTTTCGATTTAACGCAATATTTCTGAGGTATTTGAGTGGATTCTTTAAAATGGAACACCTGTACTACTATGATAAAAAAATAAAATGAATTTTTCATTTAAACTTCGCGGGTACTATAAAATCATGAAATTATTTTTTGGTGGGTTGGTAGCACTGTCTTTGACATCTATGCAGAGTTTCATGTCAATATATTCAATTGCTGCAGAGCTATACGTGTTTTTGTAAACATACAAAAGTGAGTTTTTCGATTTTTACTATGTCTGATTTTGTTGAGCAAAGAATTTGCATTAAATTTTGTTTGCGGAATAAATATTCTGCCGCGGAAACGTTGAGGATGTTGCAGAAGGCCTTTGGTGATAAGGCTATGTCGCAAAAAAATGTTTACAAGTGATACAAAGACTTCAAAGAAGGCTGAGAACGAGTTCAAGACGAACAGCGCCCCGGACGACCATCAACATCTACCGATGAAAGCCACGTCAAGGAAATCAAAGATTTGCTGTTCGAAAATCGTCGATTGACAATTAGAGACCGATGCTGATGCTACGGGCATTTCATTTGGATCAACCCAAATCATTTTAAAAGATGTTTTGTGCCTCAAACGCGTCAAATCTCGATTGGTTCCAAAAACACTCAATTTTTTTGGAAAAAAAGCGTCGCGTTGACATCTGTGAAATAAATTTCTGACTACCAAGACGTCATGAAACGCATCATTACGGGAGATGAGACTTGGATCTATGCATACGACCCGGAAACAACCGATCAATCGATCGAATATCGTACAAAAGGTGAACCAAGACCGAAAAAACCGCGCCAAAGTCGCTCAAAAATCAAGGTCATGTTGACAGTTTTCTTCGATTATCGCGGTGTTGTGCATTATGAATTTCTTCCGCCAGGCCAAACTGTTAACAAGGAATATTATTTGAGTGTTATGCGTCGTTTGCGTGAAGCTATTCGCCTCAAGAGGCGAGAATTATGGGCAGACAATTCTTGGTTTTTGCACCACGATAATGCACCGTCCCACACTGCATTGGTTCTTCGAGAACATTTCGCCAAAAAGTCGACCCATATTGTTCCACAACCATCGTATTCGTCTGATTTAGCACCGTGTGACTTCTGGCTGTTCAACAAACTCAAAAGATCGCTCCGGGGACACCGTTTCGACTCGATTGAGGAGATAAAAGCCGAATCGAAGAAAGTATTGAAGGCCATCCCGGAAAAAGACTTCTCTGACTGTTTCGAGGATTGGAAAAAACGTTGGCATAAGTGCATTATGTCGGACGGGAAGTATTTTGAAAGCGATGAAATTGATTTGAAAGAATAAATGAAGAATTTTCATTTTATAAACAAATTCACCTTATTTTTTGATCATAGTAGTATATCCTTTATATATTACTTGTTATCTCTTACTATGAAATAAGATGAAAAGAACGTATTTATCCGGATGTCATATTGAGTGAGCTATTAATAAAATGTATATGGAGACATTTTCACCTATTTTTCGAAAAATCCGTATCTCGGAAAATAACATTATTTTACATAGCTGAGTTTGATATAAAACATTTTTTCATTTGATAGAAATAAAATTCTTAGCTTATAAAAATTTAGTAATTGGTGGAGTATATTTAAAAATATAAAATTTTCGGAGGAACTGAAAATCTCACAAATATCAAAAATATTTGTGATATTATTCAATTTTTAGTTAAAAAATTTTTCTATCTCTTTAGGGTTTTGACGAGATGTATGTCGTGAGAAAAAGATCAATTTTTTCAAAAAGATATTTCATGCTCTAAAAGCCGTATGGGCATGCATAAAAAAATACGTGTCTCCTACTAGATCTAGATTAGATATACTTCAAGTTCCTCAGAATTGGAGTGAACTACTTCCGTAGAGATTTCTTTGTGAATAAAAATTCTCCTACAGAAACTTTTCTATTTCTACAGTCGAGTTTTCGTCTGGTCAATAGTGAATGGAAAATTTAGTTACACTCTAACAAAGTTATTTTTTCTATGTAAAGATTTAATGGTTTTGGTAATTGTAGACTAGCTTATCAACTAATTAAAATTTTATCCATGATTTATATAACGAAACAAAAAGAAAGTTTGTTTTTGCACTTTGTCGATTGAAAATTGTACGAGTTTCAAATAGAATTGTGTGAGAATTGAGGAAGCAATTGTTTTAATTGTTACAGAACCATTCTTCAGTGATATAGATGGCAGTGGAGATATGATTAGTAATTATATGTTAGATTGGCGTTAACAATGTATATACTCACTGCGTATCCCGTAGAAGGAAAATCTCTCGCAGAATTCATTACTAATGATGAAGAATACCGCCTTCGGATACTTCGGCTTCTGCAAAATTTTAAAATAGAGAGATTTTTTAACCTTTTCTTTCTTAATATAAAATCTAATAAAGTCTTTAAACTTATTGAAAACAGAACATATGAAAATAAAGAAATACCAAGTTATATATTGCATTTTCCAGTGGAAAGCAATTATTACATTGACCCGGTTGTAACGCTATTATTACGGCAATTGATTACAGGTATTTATTTTCCAACATTTCTCAGCGCGAAATGCGAAGGTCGCGTCGATTGGATAATCGCACATATTCTTTAGTTCAGTAGATAAAAACTTTGAGAACAAAAATAATGAAATGCATGTACAACTTTCTCGTAGAGAAATTTTGAGTCGAAATTTCTCTGTTTACGAGAAACAATGAAAATTAAAGTTAGAAAATGTGTAAAATAATAATGACACTTGATGTAACAAGAATTTCGGCGAATCTATTGATACAATACAAAGAAATATTTATGATTGGTGCAAATTTATATTCGTGATAAATTAGATTTCTACAAATAAAATTTGCTCCATAAATATTATAGGGAGAACCTTGACCAAGAAATTTAAAGTATGTTTCTGTTTCAAGGAAAAAACCAAGATGCGTGAAGAGAAATCATTATAAAATGAATAAGAATTTTTTCAATGATCCGTTTTTGATCCGTCTTATCGTCTTGATCATTTGGCCAACCATAATAGTTCTCGTGGTTAAACCCTAGTTGGACACATGAACATTGAAGATATAACAAAATATACTAATTGTTCCAGATAAGTTATCGCAAAATATACCGAATTTAAAATATACCTTCGCATTTCGCGCTGAGAAATGTTGGAAAATAAATACCTGTAATCAATTGCGGTAGTAATATACGTCATTGATTTGCAAAATTGCCTTGATTTGCAAATGCCTTGAGATCTGCGAGTTACATAACAAATTTCTAGTCTAATACGAAATAGTTTCGTAACAGATATAATTGATTTGCTGAGGCATATAAACAACAACCTTCATATTGCTGTTTTGGAAAAGTTCTTAATGTCGCATTAGTTTAAGATTATGTTTGAGATTATGTTATTGTCGTGTTGCGCTCGGAGTTCTGCTTAAACAGGTGTTTAAATGTTGCCAAGTGGGCTTCTCTGGAAGAGAAGCTTTTGAAACCATTCTTCCAAACATAAACAGGTGATGAATATGCTAATTATAATAATCCTTTGTTAAAGAAGATAAGAACTTATTTTCAAAAGCTTAAAATGAAGCTTAAAAACGAAATTTCTTACTATCATATAATTTTGCACGACATTGCATTTTCTAATTTAATTCAATATGAGCTTTATTCCAATATCAAAACCGAGTATTTAGCGTTACGCGCCTTACATTTATCTAAATATATATATATATACAAGGTGTCCAATTTTAATCTATTACCTCTTGTAATTTTGCAGGAAGCAGTTGTAGAGAAAAATGTTTTGTAGAGAAAAAGGACACTCTATATGTATATATAGATAGGCGGACGATTTTGCTTGATAAAAAATTGAGTAATTGTAATTATATTGCACGTGATATTTGTAGATTACACAGAGACACTTTTTATCTATAAGAGGTATATTATTTTTCTAATCGCGATCATTGCGAATTGAGAATGTACGTTCCAATAACTCTCGATGAATTATGATGCATATAAGCACTGTGCAGATAAGTAATCTACAATATTAATACAGAAGAACTGAAAAACAAAAGCACAGTCTGCGTCCATGGGTTTCATGTCTATATTCAAAAAATACAATATTTGTATAATCGTTCAATAAAAATTATTTATGTCTAATATATACTTTTATAATAAATGTCCTAGTGACATTTATCTTCTAAAAGTCGATCGTTCAACTTGTATTCTCCTAACGTAATCTACAATTCGCTCATGTTTATTATCATGTTTATATTAAAAGCTGCTTATTATAGCCTATATAGCACGTTATATTTTAGTAGCTACACTTAATATAATACATGTTTGCAGTTGTACACACATAAAGTGTATTAAATAAGTAAATTAAATATTTTACATAATGTATCACATGTGTAATGTTGATAGCAAATGTGTTAATTTTGTGTTCGATTGAAAGACGAAATTTCCGCACAGCGCGAAAAATTCATGTCCTAAAAGAGAAAGTATAGCGATTGGCTGTCAAAGCGACCGCAAGCAAGAGAATTAATCGAATACGTTGACGAGGTGAATGGAAGCGAGTCAATGAACCGACGTTTAATTTAAAATACGACTCATTCTTCAAACCTATTCACCAACTATCATCTTTGGAAATACTGTTATCTGCTTTGATATTGCATGAAATTATATGAACAAAAATTCGAGATTTTGGTACTCGCGCAAATTCGATATTATCTGAACTTGGATATCGTCAAGGATATCGACGACAAGTGTGTTTCAATGGAATTGACCTGATTTTTAGAAGGATCAAGACAGCTTCGCGGAATGTCAAACCGGATTTCTCCATTTCATTCGCATTATCACTCTGCATTCTTTGCAGAGGATATACAAAAAGCATGCCTTTGTAAAGAAAAGTTTTTCATAATTCTCTTTGACTTTTCTAACGTTTTCTCCGACGAAATTATAAAATCATCAGTAACAGAGAGACCAATGTTTTTCCAGTCTAATTTAATCCAGTTTAATTCCAGTCTAATCATGTCTGACGCATCTCAGCAAACGTCAACTGAGCCGCGGAGATTAAAGTTACTCAACGCCGATGTAATGAACAATGTTTAAGGCGAAATGATAAGGCGAAATAAAAATAAATAAGGCGAACCACGTGAGTATAATGATTTTACCTGGCGTACGTGCATCTTATCGACGACCATAGCGACGATGTTACGGATCGAAATCAAATCGACTATGTCGATCGATTATATGGCTTACGATACAAGCCGACGATCGCTCAGGTGGATGCACATGCTATTATGGCGCACGCGTGTCGCGTCATACACACATACACACACACATCAACGACAAGCTCGAGAAGTGACTGATCATTCGTCGTCGTTTTGCACTGCTTCGTCGTCGTTGACTCCGACAGATCCACTCGCACACGCTCGTACATCGAGACTGACAGACAGCCAACCGCATGAGACAAGCGATGTAGGTAGCAAGCGTATGAAACGACGATTGGCGGTGACTGTCATGTGAGCATCATGGTCGTGCCACGTATGTACACACTAATATTTGGAACACGTGAAAGTGAAGACCGTGTGCGACTAGGGCTGCATTCGAAAACGTTACCTGGGTACTTTCCTTCTTTCTTTATCTCATTCTTATGTCTCTCAGACCAACATAGCGGATGCACCCGAATGACGTTTCCGAATGCAGCTTAACCGGTCGTTCCTTGAATAATATAAATATAAATACGCGACTCAATAACGCTCGATTCGAACGCTTAGGTCAGAACAGTGACTCATTGTTGAGATTTTCCGACTTGATAGTGCTGTTGTTTTAACGATTATGCATTGCTCCGGAAAAACGTGCTAAAATTTAGAAAATGAGACAATTTTCTAAAAAACCATAATACCGAAATCCAAATACCGAGAAGATCCCCCAAAATATTATTATATAAAATATTATTACAATTCTAAAACATACAATTCTAAAATTGTCTTTTCGTAAGACAAGCATTAGAAAGAGAGAGAGAGAGAGAGAGAGGGGGAGCAGAGAGAAAGGGGGAGGGAGAGAGAGCTGGAAGGAGAGAGGGAGATAGAGAGGAGAGGAGAGGAGAGGAGAGGAGAGGAGAGGAGAGGAGAGGAGAGGAGAGGAGAGGAGAGGAGAGGAGAGGAGAGGAGAGGAGAGGAGAGGAGAGGAGAGGAGAGGAGAGGAGAGGAGAGGAGAGGAGAGGAGAGGAGAGGAGAGGAGAGGAGAGGAGAGGAGAGGAGAGGAGAGGAGAGAGAGAGAGAGAGAGAGAGAGAGAGAGAGAGAGAGGCAAAGACAGAGACAGAGACAGAGACAGACAGAGAGAGAAAGTAAATAAATAATAAAGAGAAAAAATATTTAAAAAATAAAAAAGAATTTTATTCGTAAGCACTAGTATAACAAATATATTAATTTAAATATAAATTATTTTATTTAAGAAGAATAAATAATTCTCATAAAAAGGTACATTTTGAAGAAAATATATATTTCTCTATTTGAAAAAAAAATTTCTTCTCAATATAAAAACAAATGAATATAAATAAATATATTAATATAAATATAAATATATATATTAATATAAATAAACAAATATATATATATATATTATATAAATATATTTATATAGAGTGTCTCATTTTAAAAGAGCTAGGAAAAATTTCGAAAAATATGAAAGATACTAAGAAACGTTCAAGCAAAAATTGTATAGTTTTAAAGGGGACATAAAACAACTATATCATTTTGCTTACAGATGGCGCCGTTTTCGAGATATTTATTGATTATTACTTTTCTTAAACGGAAACCCCAATTTTTTATTATATCGTCGTTTTCTACCAATTAATTTGAACAACTTTTGTTTGAAACATTTTTTTAGTTGCCTAATATTTTTTGAGATATTTAAAGAAAACTTGATAACGTTTTCAATATTTAACTTATGATATTTCGCTAACTATTTGTGGGACAAAAAAGTGATATTAAACTTTTTTACTCTATTTGATTTCAAGAATATACCAGGTATGTAAATATGAAACCGGAATTTTTGTATAGAAAATACACGTTTATTGTATGAAAATGATAAAAAATATTTTATTCGAAGTATTGCTCATTGCTAGCTATACATTTTTCCCACTCGTCTGACAATTTGTGAATGCTACGCGAAAAAAACGATTGCTCTTTTGAGGCAAACCAGTCATCGAGCCATTTTCGTACATTTTAAGAATTTAAGAAGTGAAGTGCTGCTCAGCAAATGCATGTCCCATCGATGCAAATAAGTAGTAATCGGACGGAGCCAAGTCTGGTGAGTAATCCGCATGTGAAAGTATTTCCCAACTAAACGCCTCAATCGTTTCCTTGACCAGTTTTGCTGTGTGTGATAGTACATTATCATGAAGCAAAATCACTTTGTGTTGCCTTTTTTGATATTATGGTCGTTTTTCACGCAAAGCTTGATTCAAATCGATTATTTTTGTCGGTAGCGCTCAGTATTAACGGTTTCGGTAGGTTTTAGCAGCTCATAATAGATCACACCCTTCTGATCCCACCAAATACAGAGCAATGTCTTCCGTCCATAGCGATTTAATCTTGCAGTCGATGTCGATAGTACGCCTGGAGTTACCCATGATCGTTTACGCTTAGGATTCTCAAAATATATCCACTTTTCATCGCCAGTCACAATTCGATGGAGAAATGACTTTCTTTTGTACCTGGCGAGCAGCATTTCGCAAGTGGTTTTTCGGTTTTCCTGCTGTCTTTCATTCAGTTCATGTGGAACCCATTTTCCCATCTTCTGGATCTTTCCCATGACTTTCAAACGTATGGAGACGGCTTCTCGTGTTACATTTAATTGATCCGCAAGTTGTTGTTGCGTTTGAGCGTCATCCTCATTCAACAATGCTTGCAATTCGCTGTCTTCTAACTTTTTCAGTGGTCTTCCACGTTCTTCGTTTCTCACGTCAAAATCGCCACGTTTGAATTTTTTAAACCACTCAAAGCACTGTGATTTACCAAGAGCATGCTCACCGTAAGCTTCAACAAGCATTCGATGCGATTCTGCAGCAGTTTTCTTCAAATGGTAACAGAAAATCAATGCTGTCCGCAAATCGTAGCTTCCAGGCACAAAATTCGACATGTTCAACGCTGTTACAAACTATGCTGTTGTATGAAACTTGTATTGTTGTGAGTTGAAAATCTTTGTCAGATGTCAACAAATGGAAATGACGCCAATGACGCGGTTTGACGGTAACTACATTGACAGTTAGGACCATCTATGGGCAAATTCCGGTTTCATATTTACAGACCTGGTATTATTACAATAGCGCCCTAACTTTTATTAATTTGATAATTTTTAAATTACTAAAGATCGAAAAGTTACCAAAAGTTAGAACACTATTTTAATATTATATTCTTGAGACCAAATAAAATGAAAGTGTTTGGTATCGCTTTTTCTTCCGATGAATAGTTAGAGAGATACCGTAAGTTAAATATTTAAAAAGTTACCAAGTTTTCCTTAAATATGTCAAAAAATGTTAGGCAAATAAAAAAAATGTTTCAGACAGAAGTTATTAAAATTAATTGCTAGAAAAAGATGATACAATAAAAATTTTAAATTTCCATTTAAAAAAAATAAAGATCAGTGAATATGTCGAAAGGGGCGCCATCTGTAAACAAAATTAGATAATTGTTTTATATCCCTTTCGAAAGCATACAACTTTTGTCTAAAACATATCTTTCGTTTTCCGAGATTTTTGCTTGGCTCATTGAAAATTTGACTCCCTGTATATTTATATTATACTCATATTATATTTATATGTATAAATAAATGTATTTATATTATATAAATATAATATGAATAAATATATTACAGTGTCTATTGAATAAATATTTTTTTAAACATTCTTTTTATCACACACAGTATATCAACTTATATACACCCAAACAAAAGTATTCTATTTGTAAAGTGATTTTTCGCATAATCTCATATTTTAGCCGAAGCCTTTTACAGGAAAAGAATTCTTCTTTCGATAAAGTGATTAAAGTGAACCATTTATCTAAAATTTATTAGATATTATTCTATTTTCCTCTTATTTCAAAAGGATTTCCTCTTGTATCGATTAATTTTCCTCTTTCCTTTATATCAAGAGGAACTCTTGTCGGCGTTTTTCCTCTTCCATCTACTCACACAGAAAGTCTTTGTGCATATGACGATCGTCGCCGTTGTCTTTTGTTTTATGGACAACGTCGAGAAACGTAGAGCAGAGAAGAAAAAAAAGAAATCTTTAGTGTATGTTGTTTCGTCATGAACGAAGTGCAAGAATTTTTAGAGAAAATCAACATAAAACATACTGGCCTATATTTTAGCGTAAATATAAATATATATTTATTTATTGTATTGTGCTGCACACTACATTAAATGCCATTTAGAATATATAAAATTATAAATTTATGTTCTTTCCTACTTTTTCAGTAGAAAATAAAAAAAATTTAAATAGAACTTTTTCTGGACAGTTGCACAATAATTTTCTCTCCTTTCTTTATAAAGGAACATATAATCAAGAATAAAGTACAATAAGAATAAAAATAAATAGTAATCCTCTTAAAAAAAGATTAAATAATCTATGTATTAGATGTACAAATGAATAATCTAATTTTTTCAGCTACATTCAAGGTTTATTTTAAAAGAAAGTAAATTAAATTGTTCAATCAAAGTATTCGCTGTTGCTTTCTATAACTTTAAGCCATCTTTCAGGCAGCTGATGAATTCCATCTCGGAAAAATGTTACGTCTTTGGACACGATAAAGTCGAAAAATGTTTCGTATTTGAACACGATAAAGTCGACAAGCCATTTTCGGATCTCATCCACTGATTGGAAGTGCATATCGGATAAGGCGTGTTGCATCGACTAGAACAAGTGATAATCGAATGGAGCAATGTCTGGTGAATACGTCGGGTGCTGCAAGACGTCCCAGCCAAGACTCATTATGGTGTCTTTTGTATTGGAAGCAATGTGTGGCCTGGCGTTGTCATGCAACAATTTCACTGGACGTTCTCCTTTGCCAGTATACGGGTGTTTTCGTTCCAATTCTTCACTCAAGCAGATTAATTGACGTTGGTAGCAGTCCGCAATAACTGTTTCACCAGGTTCCAACAACTCATAATAAAGCACGCTCTTGATATCCCACCAAATGCAGAGAAGAACCTTCTTTCCGAAAGGATTGGGTTTTGCGACCGATTTTGATGATTCGCTGGGATTTACCCATGACTTCTGCGTTTCGAATTGTCATAGAGTATCCATTTTTCATCGCCCGTAACGATTTTCCACAAGAAAGACTTTCGACGCTGCTTATTGAGAAGAGAAAGACACGCTGCCACTCGTTGATTTTTGTTGGTTTCAGTGAGTTCATGCGGTTAGGCACTCATTTTCCTTCTTTCTGGATCTTTCCCATCTCATATAGGCGTT